CAGAGTTTTGCCTTTTCCAACCCAACCCAGGGCCGGAATCACGTAGCACTTGGCCTTTTCATACTGGCTTCTTTTCACGTACCATTATGCGGCTAATTCTCCTTTATATCTTTCTGCAGACTGAAAGCTCATTTAATGCTGGACGATAGTGTATTGTCTGGAGGGACCACGTCTGTCTCTTTATCCACTCACCTACTACGGGGCACCTTGGGTGTTTCCGAGTTTTGGCAATCCAGAATAAAGCAGCTATAAACATCCGTGTGCGGGTTTTTGTGTGGACCTGAGTGTTCAGTGCATTTGGGTAAATACCTAGAGGTCTGATTGCAGGATAGTGTGGTGAGAGGATGTTTGGTTTTATAAGAAACGGCCAGACTTGCTCCCACAGTGGCTGCACCATGTGGCATTCCCACCAGCAGGGACCGACAGTTCCTGTCTCCCCACATCTTCGCCAGCACTTAGTGTTGTCAGCGTTCTGGATTTTGGCTGTTCTCATAGGGGTATGCTGGTGTCTTCCTGTTGTAGGGGTATTTGCAGTTCCTTAATGACATGATGTGGAACCTTTTCTTATATGCTATTTGCCACCCGGACGTCCTCTTTGGGGAAGTGTCTATTTGGGTCTTTTGCCCAATTTTTAAATTGGGTAGTTCTTTTTTTTATAGTTGAGTTGGGGTTTTTTTTTTCAATTTTATTTTATTTATTTGAGAGAGAGAGAGAGAGAGAGAGAGCACACATGAGCAGCAGGAGGCAGAGGGAGAAGCAGGCTCCCCACTGAGAAGGGACCCTGTTGTGGGGCCTCCATCCCAAGACCCCAGGATCACGATCTGAGCTGAAGGCAGAGGCTTAACCCACTGAGCCACCCAGGCTCCCCTGTTTTGCATGTTCTGGTTAACAATCATTAATGAATTATGTCTTCTGCAAGTAGCTTCTCCCATTCTATAGCTTATCTCATTCTCCTGACGGGGGCAAGTTTTTAATATTAATTAAGTCCAGCCCATCGATTACTTCTTTATGAATCATGCTGGAAAGTCAGTTCTACCTTTGGACGGTTTAATTACCCGAATCAGCAAATTCCCTTTTGGTTTCAGGAGAGTTGGGTTTTCTGTTACTTCACATTTATTTCTTTAAAATAGACTCTGGGCATAGCAGACAATAAATAACGGACAGCGTTACCTCTTTTAACATGATTTTTAGGATTTATAGATATATCTTTTTCTCTTCAAAAGACTTTTCTTTTTGAAACAGACATTTGGTTTCACAACTAAATTTTACAAAAATTTAGAGTTACGTCAGGACTTCCCCATTCGGGGGGTTTTGCTTTTACTACATCTCTGGGTGAGTTCAAATACTTTTTTTTTCTTTTTTTTTAAGATTTTTTTTTTTTTCTTAATTTGACACAGAGAGATACAGTGAGAGAAGGAACACAAGCAGGGGGAGTGGGAGAGGGAGAGGCAGCTTCCCCCTGAGCAGGGACCCGATGTGGGGCTCAATCCCAGGACCCTGGGATCATGACCCGAGCCAAAGGCAGATGCTTAACGACTGAGTCACCCAGGTGCCCCGACTTCAAATACTTTTAAAAAGAATTAAAAAGGAGAAGAAAGAAACACAGTTGTATTTCAAACCCAAGCATTCTCAGAAACGCAATTCTACCACGGTTCCCTCTCGAAAAGCCCCTTGGCTGGTCATACGATCACTGGGACATAGAGCTTTGTTGGGCCAGAATCACAGACCCTGTTTCTCTGTCTTCTGGCATTGAGGGCTGCACAGAACTCTCGGGGCCAGGCTGACTTTCGTTCCTTTCTCAGGGACCTACGATGCTGCTGAGACGTATCCTTTGATGGTGCAGCTGTTCAGGACGAACGCGGGTTCTCGGGCTTTTAACATCTTCCCTGGGACACCCTGTGCCATTGGACCGGAGGATGACCTACACCCGGAGCACCTTCCTCCTCACGCACACTGTGGACTGAGGCGTCCGGCCGCCGGCTCCACCGGGTCATTGGGAACAGCGGGTGTCCTAGCCCGGAGGGACATCTCAAGCATATCCCCTGCACCCCCTCACCCACTCTAACCTCGTGGCAGTCCTGCTTTCCCACATGGGCTTCCATCCTCTCTCCGTGTTGGAGGCTCTGTGCAATTCTCTCTTTTCTCCCCCAAGTACAAGGTGGCCCCTTCGCAGCCCAGCCTGGCTTTCTTACAAGGCTCTCCTCCTGCTTCCAGGAGGATCCCAGTGAAAACCTACCTGAAAATCCCACCCAAATCCTACAGGAAGTATTTCTCCAGCGTTCTTTTCTTTCTTTCAGTCTCCAGGATGATGTGACTGTCCCTCGTTTTGCAGAAAATTTTCAGAATCCCTATGACTTTTGGGGTATTTTTTTAAAGTTTCTTTTTTAAAGATTTTTATACATTTAGGGGTGCCTGGGTGGCTCAGTTAAGAGTCTGCCTTCGGCTCAGGTCACGATCCCAGGGTACTGGGATGGAGCCCTGATTTAGGCTCCCTTCTCTGCGGGAAGCCTGCTTCTCCCTCTCCTACTCCCCCTGTGTGTGTCTCCTCTCTCGCTGTGTCTCTCTCTGTCAAATAAATAAAATAAAATAAAATTTTTATACATTTATTTGAAAGAGAGTGTGAGAGAGAAAGAGCATGAGCAAGGAGGTTGGAGGACAAAAGGAGAAGCAGACTCCCTGATGAGCAGAGAGCCCAATGCAGGACTCGATCCCAGGAACCCTGGATCACAACCTGAGCTGCGGGCAGACGCCTAACCGACCGAGCCAGCCAGGCGTCCCATAAGTTTATTATTTTTTAATAATTTCGTTTTTATATTTATCATTAAACTTTTTAACTTTTTTAGTTTATAGGGTTTTTAAAAATTTATTTGAGAGAGAGCGTGCAAGCAGTGGGGAGGGGCAGGAGACCATCTCAAACAGGCTCCACACTGTGGAGCCTGATGTGGGGCTTGATCTCGTAACCCTGAGATCACGACCTCAGCTGAAACCAAGGGTCTGACGCTCAACTGGCTGAGCCCCCCCAGGCTCCCCTAAAGTTTATGATTATTATCTTTAGCCACCTCTGCACCAATGTGGGGCTTCAGCTCACGACCCTGAGACCGAGAGTCGCACGCTCTCCAGCCGAGCCAGCCAGGCGCCCCGTCCCTATGATGTTTCTCACATTATTTCAGACACACGGAATTGTAGAACGGTGACAGAAGGAACACCTGTGGACCACCCACACACGGTTCGTTTTCTCTTTATGCACCTGAACAACAGTACCGCCGGTCAGACCCTGCACCCGACTCTGCCCAGCGGGACGGGACTGAGTCCCCTCTCTGGCCCAGCTGTGGGAAGGCCCGTTCCCGGCAACGTGGCGTCGCTCCGACAGTGAACATCACTTCTGGCCAGAAAGCCAGAAAGCCCAGCACGGGAAGCCATCCATACGAGTCCCTCAAGGGAGGCTGCGGGGATGAAAGTCAGGACAAGGGACACTTTTGCAACCCTGACAAGCAACCGCTACCAGGATGTAGAACACACCTCCCCAAATCCGGGAGGATGTGAAAAGCAATTAATGAAAAGAGACAGAAAATCAATGAAGAGATGCATCAGAACCAACGTGGGCATGTTTTTAAAGCATTCAGCAAACCAAACACCACTTGTCATAACAGCCATCGACAAGTCCCAGGCTGAGCTGGGGGAGGTTCATAGTCATGTCCGGTTCAAGTGGCAAATTCTTCAAAGCTTTTTCTGAATCTAGTTGATTTTTTTTTTAAGATTTTATTTATTTAGGGGTCCTGGGTGGCTCGGTCGGTTCAGCCTCTGCCTTCAGCTCAGGTCATGATCCCCGGGTCCTGGGATTGAGCCCCGCATTGGGCTCTCTGTTCCACGGGAAGCCTGCTTCTCCCTCTCCCACTTCCCCTGCTTGGGTTCCCTCTCTGGCTGTGTCTTCCTTCTCAAGTAAATAAATAAAATCTTTTAAACAAAGATTTTATTTATTTACTTGAGAAAGAGAGCATGAGCTGGGGGAGCAGCAGGCAGAGGGAGAGGGAGAAGCAGGTTCCCCGCTGATCTGAGAGCCCCATGCAGGACTCGATCCCAGGACCCCAGGATCATGACCTGAGCCAAAGGCAGAGGCTGAACCAACCGAGCCACCCAGAGCACCCCCCGCCCCTGGTTGTCTTATAAACAGGAGGAGTCCCTCCCAGATTCTGGCGTTCGTCCTGAGTGATCAGCGTTCTCCACTTTCCGTCTCTCAGTGGTGGCCTCAGTGGGCTGCTGGGACGAGCTACGTGAGGGGCCACTGGCTGGACACTGCCGTCTGTGTGACGTCTTCATGTGCCCTCTTATGTCCTGCCACCCCACCTCTCCACAGCACTCCCACACTATCCTTGGGCCTTCAGTTTGCTTTTTGCTGCCAAGGCCCACATCTGGGTCCCATGCCCTGACTGGGAGTCCCCACGGTCTCTAGCACTGGGCCCTGCCCATGGCGGGGGCTTCATGACTTCACCTCTGGATCAAAACAGACTCCCCATGTCGCAGTGGACAGAACCAGCCCTGGAACTAACTGGTTGGTGGAACCAAAACCTTGACGGGCTGATCAGGCTTCAGGTATAGCTTGATCTGCCTTCAAGACAGTTTCTCTCCATCTCTTGGTTCTTCGCCCTTGACTGACTTTGCTCTGCGGCAGGCAAGCCCTCCCCTGTGGGGACGCTAGGCCACCAGCAACAGCAGCACCTGCAAGGACAGAGACAGAGCTCCTCCCACCGCAGGCTGAAAACCACCCAAACCAGAAATGACTGTGGCAGGACTGGCTCGCATCCTGCAGCCATCACCGAGTCAAACACGAGTCAAACACGAGTCAGACACGGAGGCTGGAGGGACAGAGCGCTTGCATCCATCAGTCCTGGGGGGAGCCCCTGAGAGACCGGAGAGAGAAGCAGGCTCCCCACTGAGCAGGGAGCCCGACAGGGGGCTGGATCTTGGACCCTGAGATCAAGACCTGAGCCGAAGGCAGACACTTAACCTTAACCATGAGCCCCCCCGCAGTGTCCCCAGGAGGAGGACTTTTTGGACAAGGACTGACAGCACGAATGAGCGGAAGGTGAGGGACCACCAGCATCCTCTTAGTTTCCTTCCGGAAAGTCCCCCCTCCTGGGCCCACTGGGAACGAGGGGGCCGCCGCAGGCCCACGAGCGCACCCCGGGTTACAGAGCACTTCTCACACGGCCCATGGCACCCGCGCGACCCACCCCCCAGGCCTGGCGTCACCCCAGCCTTCAGGCCCTGGAAGCCACAGGGACCCCGAGGCAGAGAGGCATGGGGGTCGCGCTGATTCACAAAGCCTGGGAGGAGCCCCAGGGGTGCGGAGAGCAGCAGGTGCGTGTGGGGAAGGAGAAAGAGCAGGCTGACCTCAGGCCACTTCCTCCACGTCGAGCTCCCCACCCCTCCCCAGCGGGGGCCCAGGCCTGTCCACCTCCACCTCCTCCTCCCGGCCTCTCTCCCTTATCTCTCCCTGCTGGCCGCTGCCATGCCTGCTCCCCAACCTTTGTACCTTGCTCCGAGCTCGCTGTTCTTTTCCTGGACCTGGGAGTCAGGCCTCACTTTCACTCGGGGCTCGCGTCCTCAAGGTCGCCTCGCCATGTGCACGGGGAAGTGCTCCCGCTTCGTGGGACTCTCCCTCATCCCCCTCTCCCTGGTCTGCATCGTGGCCAATGCCCTCCTGCTGGTGCCTGGGGGCAAGACCACCTGGACGGACAACACCCACCTCAGTTTGCAAGTCTTGCTCATGGCCGGCTTCCTCGGGGGAGGCCTGATGGTGAGCGGGCCAGAGGGTGGGGTGGGATCCCGAGCAGGGGAGGGGGAGGGGACCTGGAGCCTCCCTGGCCGCCCCCAGATACTGAGCACCTGTGAGCTCAGCACCTGAGCTGAACCGCCCCGGCCCCGGGGGAAAGGGAAAGAAGGAAGGCTGGAGGGCAGCCCCGCTTCTGGGGACGAGGGGAGGGAGGCCGTCCTGCCTGTCTCCCAGCCGCATCTGGCAACAAATGCTGGCACACCTCACCGCGAGGGCAGAGGGAACTGCTAGCTGTGTGGGCACCCATCAGGCCAAGATGATGCGGCTGAGGAGGGGGAGGGTAGGGACACGGGAGCCAGGGGCAGGGTTACAGCTCCGTCATCCCACCTGTCACCTCCATGTCCCCTCACTCACGGCCCACCCCGGGGCTGCAAAGCTCGGGGCAGCCTGGGGTAGAGACCTCAAGTCCTCCCGGAGACTCGATCTGTCAGAAGTGGGGGAGGGGAGATGCCTCTCTGGACCTCCTCATCCCCATCCTCCCACCCCTCCCTGTTGGGGGGAACTTCTGGAAGGTCAGGATAGGTTAACAGCAGTCATGGGGTGAAGACTACAGACCTGCCCAGCAGGGTTCCTCACTCCTCATGTGAAAGTCTCCCCAGGACAGATGAGGGTCCCCGGGGACAGGGCTCACCAACCTTTGCCTCTTTCTCTGGTCACACTGCTCCATACACCCTCCCCCGATGTCACAGTGCACCCCTCTCCAGCCCTGCCAACCCCACTTCCCTGCAATCTAACCCATGTACCTCCGGGGTGAGCCCCCCAAGACACCTAGCATACCCCCTCACCCAGGCTCATTCCCAGATGCACTCTTCCCACCTCCAAGCCCTGAGCCACCCACACAGTCCTGCCACCCCTGCCCCCCACAGGCCACGTCCCTGCTTTCCCTGGAGCTGGGTTCCTGCTGCCGAGATCACAGGATCACAGAAAACGGGAATGGGACTGCCTGTTTCACTGGCTGCCATGGGTGGAGGGTAACTGCCTGGTTCAGTGCCCTATATTTGCAGGCACTCGATTAACCCTCCGTGAGCAACGTAAACAAATGAGCAGGATGGGCGTAGGTGCCACCAAGGAAACAAAGCAGCACGCTACAGGGAGGAGAGGGGGTGGGGCATGGTTTATAGCATTTTCTTTCTTTCTTTTTTTTTTTTTTAACATCCTCTTCTATCCCCTTTGAATTTCACTTGTAGGCAAGAGTATACTTTTAGAAAAAAAGATTTTATTTATTTATTTGAGAGAGAGAGCATGAACAGGGGAAGAGGGAGAGGGAGAAGCAGACTCCCCACTGAGCAGGGAGCCCGAAGCAGGGCTCGATCCCAGGACCCTGAGATCATGACCTGAGCTGAAGGCAGAGGCTTAACCCACTGAGCCACCCAGGCGCCCCAAGAGTATACTTTTCATTTGTTTTAAGTAAACTCTGTGCCTCACATGGGGCTCAAACTCAGAACCCCAAGATCAAGAATCGCGTGCTCTACCAACTGAGCCGATCAGCCCCCGTTATAGCATTTGCAAGGCCTCGATAAGGCGAGATCTGAAAGGAACCCCACAAGAGAAAACAAAGGACCCCGCACGGCAGACAGGGGCTGGCAAGGGCACAGGCCAGGCTCGCATATCCGGGGATCATATGGGCGTCCGGGCTTCAATGAGATGAGATCCGAGGTGGGCACCGGCCAGACCCTGTACACCCTTGTGAGGAATCTGAATTTTATCACAAGGACAACAGCAAACTATTGAAGGACCTGTTACCTTCTTTTGAGCGTTTGAACTTGTAAGTCACATGGAGAAGTGCCCAGTGAATGTTCACAAAGTGAACCCCCCACAGACCCAGGACGCAGACCAAGATACCGGTCATTACCAGAATCCCAGACAGACCTCCCACGCCGGGCTCGACCCCCGCGAGAGTCCCCAACCCCCTGATTTCTAACCCCGTAGGCTAGTTTTGCCTGTTCGGCACGTTATATAAATGAAGTTGTCCGGTATAATAATTTTGTGTCTGGTTTCTCTAGCTCCATGCATGTTTGTGATTTCACTGGTATCATTACATAGACATAGTCTATTATTTCCGGCGCGTTCCGGTGTGTGAACAGACCACAATTAATTTAAACATCTTACCGGCGATGGATGTTTGGATAGGCCCCCAACTTGGGTTTATTACAAATAAGTCTGCTCTAGACGCTCCTATAAATGTCTTCAGGTGAAATTCTGTTTGCATGGCTGTTGGATGGATACTCAGAGGTGAACTCCTGGTTCTTTAGGTGTGCGAGCGTTCAGTGCTAATAGATATTGCCGCAGAGTACTCTGAAGCTCTTATCCCAAGTTCATTCCCACCAGAAAAGTAGGAGAGTTCTAGATGCTCCATACCCTGCTGGATTTAGGGGGTCCCACAGGCGGCCGTGTGGCATGAGAGCTGGAGGTGAGCCAGTGACCTAAGAGCCCACAGAGGCCACTGTGGTTGGCCAGGGGAGTTGACAATGGCCGAGAACCAGCCAGGCACCAAGGAAGCAGTTTCAAGCTATGAACTCAGTGTTTCCTTCTGTGTTTACCATGACCCTTCTCTCGGCGCAGAGTAGATGGTGCAGAGCACAACAGGGGAGCTTGTACAACGAAAGGAGCTTAAATACTTTTAGTAAGAAAACAGAAATCTCGGGTGCCTGGGGGGCTAGTGGGTTAAGCCTCTGCCTTCAGCTCAGGTCATGGTCTCAGGGTCCTGGAATCAAGTCCCGGGTCGGGCTCTCTCCTTGACGGGGACCCTGCTTCCCCCTCTCTCTCTGCCTGCCTCTCTGCATACTTGTGATCTCTCTCTCTCTCTGTCAAATAAATAAATAAAATCTTAAAAAAAAAAGAAAATAGAAATCTCAAAGAGATAGGTCATTCGAAAACTGGTCAGTCCTAAAGGCAATTCTAGGTATCTTTGGATTCTGGAGCTTCCCAGGTAAGAGAGAGCAAAGCACCAGGGCCAGTGATCGTTCTAGACCTGCCGAGAGACAAGGAGGCGGGGAGAGGGAGCATCCGGCAGAACTCCGGTTCAGCTCTGCAGGTGTTTCTGTGAGGTCAGGATGAGTGAGATAACAGAATCAAAACTCCCGGCCCCACCCCTAGGGAGGAACCAAATGCCACCTGGTGCGCTGTGTGCACACAGGGAGGCAAAGATCAAGACAGCTGTGGAATCCCAGAGACAGGCGATAGGCAAAGAACCTGGGGTTGTGCAAGAGATCAAGGCTAGATCCAAAGAGAGGAGCCTCGCTTGCCTTCCTAGAGCTCAGTCTTTTGTTTTTTTAAGACTTTATTTATTTATTATTTGAGAGAGAGAGTGTGTGTGTGTGTGCATGCATGTGGGTTGTGGGAGGACAGGGAGAGAAGGAGACAAAGAATCCCAAGCAGATGGGGCGCCTGGGTGGCTCAGTGGGTTAAGCCGCTGCCTTCGGCTCGGGTCATGATCTCGGGGTCCTGGGATCGAGCCCCGCATAGGGCTCTCTGCTCAGCAGGGAGCCTGCTTACTCCTCTCTCTCTGCCTGCCTCTCTGCCTGCTTGTGATCTCTCTCTGTCAAATAAATAAATAAAATCTTAAAAAAAAAAAAAAAAGAATCCCAAGCAGACACCACACTGAGCGCTGAGCCGGACATGGGGTTTGAGCCCACGCCCCTGAGATCATGACCTGAGCTGAAATCAAGAGTCGGACAGTCCCCCCGACAGAGCCAGCCAGGCGCCCCTCCCAGAGCTCAGTCTTAATGGGCTCCCGTCTGAAGAGACCCTGAAGGCTTTGGGCAGAGAAAAGTCCCCGTTGAAAGCTAAGTTCACTCTGGTGGGAGCGATGTAGGATGGGGTGTTCAGCACGGGGCCAACATAGATGTCTTGTAGAGAGGCTGAGAACGTCATCCTTGTGGGAGGTGATCGGGCGCTGGACCGTGCAGGCAAATGGACAGACAGATTTGAGAACCATTAAAGGAGAAGTTGAGAAGACTTGAGGTCTGGCTTGGGTTTGAAGGATTCCAGTTTTCTGGTGTGGGTGACCTGAAAAATATTTCCACTGACGGGGACAAATAAGGTCACAGGGAGATGAATTTGGGGAATTTTGGGGGAATTGCCAGCTCAGTAGGAGGCTGCCTGGTTTAGGCTAAAACCAAGAGAGTGAAAGTAACACACCCTTCAGCACGTAGATTTGAATCTGAGGCTGAGGACTGCCCCCAGGGGACAGCGGGTGCCCTGAAAGGGACGGGCTGTGAGAGGAGGGCCACAGGGAGGAAGAAGGACAAAAAGGACCAGGGTTGGACCTTGGGGGTCCCTACGCTTCCTATCAGAGCGTTCACTACCACTGTCCTCCGCCCTCCACCTAATCCAGCTCACCAGACACTCCAACACCACGGTTCTTCCTGCCGCCCAGGGGATTTATAGTTATGGAGCTAGTCTTGACCTCTGGTCCCCCTGGTACGCACAGCTCTGGGAGGTGGGTAGGAAGACCCAGAGAGATGAATCCATTCGTGGAGTGTGAAGTGAGCCCAGGGGGTGGGGGGCTTAACCCCAGGCCCCCTGACTCCGGCTCAAATGGGCACCTACTGGGCACAAAGTCTGTGGCAGATATCGTGACATTGGGCCCCGCCTTCCCAGAGGCTGCGGTGTGAACCCAGAGAAGTAGGAGCATACATAATGGTAAAGGTAGAACCCCAGCGCCCTCTGGGAGCAGTGGAGATAAAGTCTTCCTGTGGTCCAAAGGGCTGAGGGCATCCCGGGCGGCTCCAGGGGTAGATGAGCACCGGTGCGTGCACGGTGCCTGTAAGGGAAGGGAGGGGCCGCGCCGTCACACTGTCCTTCCTCCGCAGGTGCTGTGTCCCGGCATCTCAGCGGTTCGCGCGGGGGGCAAGGGCTGCTGCGGTGCGGGCTGCTGCGGAAATCGCTGCAGGGTAAGATCCAAACGAGGGCGGGGCCCGGGGCTGGGTCTCCGAACTGGCCTTAGCGGAGCCACCCCTGAAGCCGCGGGAGCTCCCCCCGCAGGGTCCCAGCTCCTCCTCGCCCCTCCCCGCCCCCGCTCCCGCCGGCCTCAGCCTCAGCGGGCCTGCAAAGGAGACCGGGGCCCCCACGAGCGCCCGCGGCCTCTGGCTCGTTGGGGCAGCTCCGGGCCAGCAGCGGGCTTGGGCCTGGAGCCGAGCGGAGTAAGGCGCGCGCACGCGGGGGCAGCGGCCCCGCTCACCGCCGCTCGCACTGCGCCCCCAGATGCTGCGCTCCGTCTTCTCCTCGGCATTCGGGGTGCTGGGGGCCATCTACTGCCTCTCGGTGTCGGGAGCCGGGCTCCGAATTGGACCCAAGTGCCTCATGGACCACCGCTGGGACTACCACTTCCAGGACACCGAGTAAGGCTCGGCGCGCCCCCGCCCCTGCGTTTGCCACCTGTCGGGAGCTCGGGAGCTCGGGAGCCCGGGAACCCCGGGACGCTGCGCGCCTTCGCCGGGGCCACCTCCACGTGGGCCGAACCCCCTCGGCGCCTGCGCGGGGCTGGGGGCGGGCGCTCCGGGTGCCCGTCCCCTCTCACGTGACCCCGCCCCCGCCCCCCGGCCGCAGAGGCGCCTACTTAAAGAACCGCACCCTGTGGGATCTGTGCGTGGCGCCGCCCGGCGTGGTGTCCTGGAACGTGACGCTCTTCTCGCTGCTGGTGGCCGCCTCGTGCCTGGAGATCATGCTGTGCGGGGTGCAGCTGGTGAACGCCGCCCTCGGCGTCTTCTGCGGCGACTGCAGGAAGAAGGTGGGGCGGCGGGGGCTGGGGCTGGAGCGGGGCTCCGCTGGCGGCCTGGCAGCGCCCTCACCGCCTTATTCCCGCAGGGCTCCCCCAGCTGAGGCTGCGCTGACCGCTCTGCTCGCTCCTGGACGCCCGCCTGGCCCACCCTGCCCTGGAAATAAAACTTTGAACTCTCTTGCGCCTCTCAGATGGGGGGTCCCGTCCACGCAGGAGCGCTCCAAGGCCTCCAAGGCGCAGGGCCTCCGGAGCGCCCCGGTGTGGGACCCCTGCACGTTCCAGCGACTGGTCCCTGAGCTGTGAGCGTGCGCTCGAATTGAACGAATCGAGACAGGCGGGCTCTATGCGCTCAAGAATTGAACAACCCGGGGGTCTAAGACGGGTCCTTTTTTTTTTTTTTTTTTTAAGGAAATAGATTACTTCACTTTTTAGAAAAACACTCTGGTAATGGGATAGGTATCCGCCACTGGAGGGACTTTTTAAGATAAGATGAAGTCTGAGAAAGGGAAATTGGCCCCGCAATCTGGTGAGTGGGTTAGCCAGCTGGGTCGCTGGGGGGGGTTCCAGGTCGGGACCCCAAGGACAAAGGGGGAAGTCCCAGGTGGAAATCCATACATGGAAAAGCCACTCTTTGACTTTCGTAGGGAAAGGAAGGAAACTGTGGAAAAGACAAATGAGCTTAAACTCTAGAAAATGAGACCTTGAGGTGTTCTAGCTTCATCGTCTCCTAATTTGGTAGAAGTTTCTCAGGCTGAGGTCCCTAGTAGTTTAGAAAGGAAACAGCCTGAGCTCCTAATGACAACCAGGTGTCCGCAGACGCCCTCAGGAGGCCGGGGACTCCCCGCACTTGGGTGCAAAAGTGTGTTTAAGGGCATTTTCCAAGGTTATGGGTCCGTAACTTTCAGTGGCATCTGGGGACTCCTGAGCCCCAAGCCGAATTTGGGCCTGGCCCAGTGTCTCGGGCTGGGAGGAGGAGTGGGGAGACACAGTTTCCTACCCCTGAAACAAGCAAGACCAGAGCCAAGACAGAGAAGCTTTAATAGCGAGCGGTGGGACTGGCCCCGGGGCGGGCGCCCTGGTTAACTGCGGCAGCAGAAAAAGCGCACGTCGTTGAGCGCGGTGTCATCCAGGAGACCCCTCGGCCGCTCCACCTTGGTCTGCAAACCGCACAAGCCTTTGGGGCAGGCCTTACTCCACTCTCCAAAGTCACCCCAGGTCAGGCCGGGCCCCTCCAGCTCCGTGCCGTCGGAGCAGCGGAAGCGCACGTTGTTGGCCGCCGTGTTGTCCCCCCGGGTCTCCGGGGCCTCCACGCGCAGTGAGAAAGCCACGAGGAAGCCACCCCTGGGACACCACAGGGGCTCACTCCACACGCCCCACCTGCGAGGAAAGGGGAGAAGCTCTACCTCTGGGTCTTCCCCCCACCCCCGTCCCGACCCAGCTTTGGGGTCTCCTCAGGGGGTGCTGCACGACCCGGGTGGGCGGGGTCTCGTCACCTGACCTCCGCCAAGGGGCGGAGGGGAGGTCTCCACCCACTCCCCAGGTCTAAGCTGCCCCACAGCCCTGGAGGAAACTTCTAGCGCGGAGGGTGGGCATGTAACAGGGTAAGGGGCATATCCGCATCCTGGGGGGCCCTTGGACCCTGTCCCGCACCTTCCAGACTGGGACTGCACCACTTGCTTGTTGCGCTCTGCGTTCCCCCGCGAGCAGTGCAGTCGGATCCCGTTCAAAGCTGTGTCATCGCCAGCAATGCCTTGGAGGGGCTCCTCCTGGTAAGGACCAGTTAAAAGACTGTCAGGCTGTGTTCCCTGCACGGGGTCGTGCATCTCCCTCCTCAGAGACCTAGGCCTGAACCCCCACCTTGAGCGAGAACCCGCTGGCGAAGAATCCATCAGGACACATCTCGGGCAAGGCCCAGTCACCCCAAGGACCCCCGTTGGTCACGTCGATGACCGATGCGTAGTCGCTCAGGCGGTCTGCTGGTGTGTGTCCCCAGCAGGTGGCCCATAGCAGCAGCAGCAGCTGGGCTCCTGGCCCCCTCTCCATCCTGCAGCCTATGTGAGCCTGGCCCCTTACGCAGATTTATACCACCTCTGCTCCTCTGAAGGCTCTGATTACGGAAGGGCCTCCTGGATTAAGTGACACCCAAAACTAATCCGTTCTGGGAACCTTGCAGACTCCACCTCTGCTCAAGGAGACAGAGGCTTCCAGCACTGGAGAAGAGGAGAAGGGGCCCAGAGAACTGACCAACAGTTGAGTGAACACCACCCCCCCACCCGAGCATTTACTGCAGGCTCTGACTTCTGGTTCTGTTCTGCTGGCTCTGTTCTGCTGGCGTTGTTACTCAATCCTCACCCCGGGTGTGTGTGGGGGGATTACCCTTTCTACTCCACAGATGGTGGAAATGGGGCTTAGAGATGGCAAGCAACGTGCCTAAGGTCAAGGTCAGCAAGCTAGGAAACGCTCCGACTCTGGGAAGTGGAGAGACCCTCCGTCTGGGGTTGGAAAGGATGTTCTGAAACGCTGGAGAGGATGGGTAGCCAGCAACCTTAGGGACCTCCAGGATTGGAGGGAGCATTAGAGGGAGAGATGGGGCAAGAATCCAGAAACTGTGCGAGCTAGAAAGGACCTCCTTAGTGATTGCGGTCCTGACTCCCAGAGAATCTGGGGTACCCCTTCCCCTAAGAAGAAAACATACACAGACAGGAACAATTCTAGGAAGTTTATGGACAGGGGGTTAAGAACCTCTAAGAACAAGAGATGCTGTTTTTTGGTGAGTTTTTTGTGTGTGAGATTGATTTATCTATTTGACACAGAGGGAGAGCACAAGCAGGGGGAGCAGCAGGCCGAGGGAGAAGGAGAACAGGCTCAGGCTCCCTGTGGAGCAGGGAGCCCCACGTGAGACTGGATCCCAGGACCCTGAGGTCATAACCGGAGCCTAAGACAGATCCTTAGCGGACTGAGGCACCCATGCACCCCAAGAGATGCTGTTTCTGCCATCACTTCCTGGGTCCTTCCCCTGAGTGTTTCCTAACTATGACCACCAGGTGGACTCCTATTTGGGGAAGAAAACAAAAAAGGCTCATTTGTCATAGGGTACACCACCCGATTTGCCTGCTCTCCACACTTTCCTGTGTTTATTCAATACATATTTATATAGCAATAATGTATTTTGGCCTAGGCACTATTCTAAGTGCTGCGAATAGAACAGCAACCAGGAAAAACAAGCCCCCTGTCTTCATCGGAGCCCACATCTGCATGGGGGAGATGTGATACATCTTCCGCTGGACCTGGAGCTGTGTGAAGGCTCTTTTGTCTTCTTGAGGCTTAGGACAGGGCCTGGATGCAGAAATAGTTCATAAAGTTTGGTTTGAAGAATAATGTGGGGGGCGTGCTTGCCTGGCTCAGTCCATAGAGCATACCACTCCTGACCTTCAGGTCATGAGTTCAAGCCCTAGGTTGGGCAGAGAGATTACTTAAAAAAAAAAAAAAAAAAAACCACACACCCAAAAAAAAAGTGAGTAACGGGAGAGCCGGAACCAATCTGGGGTTTAAAAGAAACTAAACCACAAAAATGTAAATGTATAAAGCATCCAGATGGAGACAGGTCCCCTGGAGACAGGCTTGTGAATTTAGAAGGGGGTACTTCCTGGACCCCAGGTGCCCTGCGTTTGAACTTCATAGGGGAAGATTTATGGAGCAATTGCGGTAAGATTTTCCATGTACAGTGTTTGCACATACGTTACCATCTAATCCTCAGGTGAGATCGACAAAGTACCTATTATTGTCCTCAATTTACAGTGGCGAGAATTCAAGCCCAGAGCTAATGTAGGGCCCACACCATGGCTCAGTGGGGGAGCTGGTTCGACCCCAGGCCCTCTTTTCTCTCACTACCACCTGGTCCCACGCGGAAGGCAAACGCAGAGACGTCGCTGCCGAACCCTCCCCCCGCCGCCATCCTCTTCGCGGGTGAATCCCCCCAATCTTCTTCATCCGGTCCTTCCCGGCGGGGATGCTGCCCTCTGGGGCAAAGGGCACAGGGGAAGGGGACTTAGTAGGTTAATTATTAACCCTTAGCAACTTAGGGCACCGGAGGCTTCTGCCGAGGGGCAGGGACAAGGGGTGGCTTGGGCTGGAAAGGGAGCGATGGCCCCGGCAGCAGCCGTCGGGGTCGCTTTGCTTCGGCTGGCCTCGCGGCGCTGGGTCCGCCACGCGATTCCTCTCGCGCTCCTCTTGCTGCTGCTGCTTTCTGTCTGCGCTTGGAGCTCGCGTGAGTGCTCGCCGCCCTCCTCGGCTCGGGGAGGAACGGGGAAGCCAAACGCTGGTGACCTAAGTCCCCTCTCCGAGCACTCAGCGCTCGGCCTCGCCCCTCCCCAGGCGCCCCCCCAGGCTGCGGATCCGGGACGCAGCCGTGCATTCCCGAGGGCACGCCGCCGGTCCAGGTATGCCCGGCATAGAGCTGGGGCCGGGAGCTCCGGGTGGGACCCCGATCGCGGGCACGGGGCCAGGCTGAGGATCGGGTGACGGGCGGGTCCTGCGCCTTGGCTCCCCTCTCCCGTCCGCAGCCGAATACGGCAGGAGAGACGCTAGCCAGGGGTCATTTCTGCAGGGTCCCACGGGGCTACTGGGCGAAGGAGACCCAGCGGGCTAGGGGTTCTGCTCCCGCCCCCTTCCGCGCGTGTCTACCCCCAGGTCCCGCGGCAGTCGGGTTCCCTGGAGGCCCCCAAGTGGGAAGAGCCTCCGTGTGGGGGCCCCCAGGGCGTGCTGGGCCACGTGATGGGGCCGTTCCGCGCCAGCCTGGACCCCGAAGGGGACGTGGCTTTGTCGCAGTACCTAGCCGGATGGAGGGCGCTGGTCAGGTGAGCGCTCTCGCGCCCCCCACCCGGCGCCGCCTCCCGGGGCTCCCCCGCCCCCTCTCCAACCACCGCGCTCTGCCCGCCACCGAACACGCAGGTTCCTAACTCCCCTCGGCTCCATCTTCGCCTTCGCCACGAGCGAGGCCTTCGCCAAAGTGACAGCCCTCGAGGCTCGGGTGCACGGCCCGGAGGCGGCGCACTACTCGTCGCTGTTGGCCATGGCGGCGTGGGAACGGCGGGAGAGACGGCTGGAGCGCCCCGGCGTCGCCCCGCGAGACACCGCCAGCTCCTCGGGCTCCCGGAT